GCTTACTTGATTGCTTAAAAAGATTTCCTAATTACCAGAAGGCAAGAGAAATATCAAGAGGCAGCTCTCGTGCCCAGGAACTCCTTGTCTGCTGTGGAAGAGCTGCAGAACAACCTAGGGATCTAACAATTCTTTGGCCGCCCAAGCCCACACGTTATTTCCAAATGTAAAAGATTCAAGTATCCTATCAAATATTACTTAATCCTTCTTGACAGGTGGGCTAGTCATACTGTCTTTAATCTGTATCTGGTTCATTGTGGCTTGGCTTCCTCTGAAAGCTATGTACATACCTCTCTCTTTTCTGCCTAGCATATGCAGGCAGGTAAAACAAGGCAATTCCACAGCCTTTGTGTTTGCATCCAGTCTCAAGAAAAATCACTGAAGTCATTCTGCTCATCACAGTGAGCAGCAACTTCAATATTTTGCTATGACTGCACAAGAGGCATTTCATTTTTTCCCCAGTTAACCTCACGGAAACAGCCCAGGATAATCGCTTTTGTAACCAATATTCAAGAGTGTCTCCTGGCAGCCACCAACACAGTCCAATAGAGTGAGAGAGGATCTGGATTTGAGTTCATGAAAAGAGATAACACCTGTAAGTGCATTTTAGCAAAGCAAAAAGAGGTCACTAACTATATCCTACAAAACATGTTTAGACATTTGAGTATGTGATACTCGATGGCTCAGCTCTCACAAAGCCCATGGATTTGAAGATACACTCTTGAAGATATATATGGACTCTGCCTAGTCAAGTGCTGGCAAATTCGATATGTAACTACCAGTGTACAGCTTTAGAGAAGGGGAATTTGTAGAAGCTACTAATTTTCATAGAAGCTACTGATTTTTTAATTATGTACGTATCCAGTTGCATATTCTTTCAAAGTACAGAAGAACTGGGGGTAGGGGTAGTGCTTATTTGTTGCCTTTCTGTGGTTTAAGCCTAACTGTTTCCATGGTGTCATTTAGGAAACCATCAATACCTGATTGCTACTGGCTTGCCTGTAAGACTTGCAGAGGGAATCTGGTTTTAGCAAAGCGTTGGCTATTTGGGAATTCTCCATGGGGAATTTACAGAGACACTATGGAATAGGAAAGTTAAAGGTCCTACATTTTCACTCCAGAGCAAGCACTTAAAAGCACAATTCCTAGCTCCATACAGCAGTCTTTGTAATATTAATAGCATTTATTAATATTAATAACAAAGTCTTAGGTCTTAATACAGGCTCTTAGCAGTAAAAAAAAAAAATCATTAAAAAAAATAAAAACTCAATTGAACCTTTTCAGCAACTATGCTGATTATGGTCCCAATTCTAATACTCCAAGCCAAAAGGAGTTTTACCACTTGGGTCAAATTCTAAATTTATAGGTGTAAGTTGCAAGGCAAACAAGGATCATTCTCCGTTAGCCAACCAAGGAAGTAAGAGTATAAAGACTTACTAGTCAAGATAGGTGAGCTGAGGTTGGGGAGTTTATTATTCTACTTAGGAATAGGAAAATTCCTATTCCATTTTGTAATTAAAACAATACACATTATACTGTCTAATTATATTTGACATTTTCAAGGTGTTGGGAACTGAAGTCTGTAATTACAGAACTGCTGCTGCCTTAAGCAGAACGCTCCATAAATATTCATATATTAAATAGCCACTTATACTGTTTAGTAGATTTTAGAAACATTTGCTTTTCTTTGGCCCTTTTGAAGATGCATTTTATATTTGTATTTTAAAAAAGATAGGAAGAAAAATGTCCTGTGGGATCAGACATACTGTATATAGCAAATTGACTATAAACCTATTCATTAGAATTGTAAGCAGTTATGTTAGGGATTCACGGTCCTTTAGAATTATTTCTTTTCTTTTAGCACAGTGGGTAATTACAGTCAGAAATAATATGGGAGTCCTGTAGTGGAACTGTAAGATAATGAAATATAATTTTCATGATTCTTTGATTTTTGTAATTAACACTTAAATTACAGCTAACATACAGCAGCTTTTTTTTTAAAAAACAAGGAAGTTGTCCACATCTTTTTTTAGTGGTTCACAATAAAAAGTCACTTCGTATATCACCTACTTGTGATTGTTCGATATTGCCATTTAATATAGCTGCTTGCCTAAGAGTACCATAACCAGAGTAGAGATGGACTTATGGTAGAGGCCAGCTGTACAGGAGAGGCTTTCCTGTTCTCAGTGTTAGAGAAATGGAAGATGAAACTCTGAATGAAGATTTTCCATGAGTTTTCCTGCCCATCCTAGGAAATCAACCTTTAGGGAAACCTAGATGAAGAGACATCGGAAGGGTAACAGACCCTGTGCCTATCTTGATCCTTTAGCTCACTGGATTAGTGATATGTCTTTTTATAAGATACTTTGTCTCACAGGACCTGGACCCTTGCTAAGTCATTTAGGTATGGCTTTCAAATAGTTAATAAGATATTGCCAGTGCCTCAACGTTTAAACACTGTGCAGAAGTGAAGTTGCAATATGCATGAACTCAAATGCTGTGCAGTCTCAGTGTCCAAGCAAGAGTGGAAGCTGGACAGGAGGCTCCTTATCCCAAACAGCTCTACAGTCTCTGTGCAGTGTGGGAAGAAGAGCACCCAGTTCCATGAAATAAAATAAAATATAAAAAATTAATATAATAAATAATAAAATAAAATATGTAAAATGTAAAATATATCCTTAGTATGAAGACTTAAGGAAGTCCTCTTATATCTCTACACATCTGTATAATGACTGGAAACAGTCATTATCATGACTAATCGTGCATGCCTGTAGTATAGCTAATAGGGACTGTGTCCAGCAGGATGTGAGAAGAATAATTAAATAATATATTCAACTAAAGAACTGAACTTCTTCCTGTAATGAGTTGGAAGCAGGACTCAAGTTACATTGTAAATAATTATTCTAACATAGTATAAATACATATTATATAATAGTCATTTTATATATTGGCACATAGTGCAATATATTACATATTACGTGGTTTTATTATATGCTATACGTAACATATATGTGTAACATAGTATGTGAGTGCACATGGCATAGAATCCCAGAATATCCCAAGTTGAAAGGGACCCAACAAGAGAGTCCAACAATACCTGTACACATATAAACTAGCTATTGAAACAAACTTGCTAGATGCCTGATCTTATTTTTGTAATGTTCACAGTACTTAGCTTCATTTAGGGTGGCCAATACCCATTCCCTTTCTACATCATCGCATCTTCTCTACTAGATTGAGATTACAATTGAGTCAACTTGAACACAGATAACCGGGCAAGCTAAATTGTTCTGATCTCTAACATCAGTATATTTAGTTTAGAAGAACACTTTTGAAAATAGCAAAAGGTGTTCTTTTCGTGGAAACCCTAAGTTGTATTAAGAAGTATGTTTCAGTAAAATTTAGATATTATCCTCCTTCCCTAACCACACAAATTTATATTCTATGTCCAAAAAGTCTACATTTAGAAAGTCCAGTGTTTAAAAATCTGAAAATGGCTAGTTAATGCAAGAAAACATTGTCCCTCTGCCACATGTAGTTTATACTTTTTATAGTTTTTATTCATATTTTTTTCCAGTATAAATATTTATCCAGTTTTACCTCTGCTTTTTATTTTATTGTAGAATGGGACAAATGATACTGATTTTAATCAACATTTTTTTTCTAAATGTATACTGAAGATTGAAAGTATAATATAATCTCAGCATGCCTGAAATTATGTCAGGGCAGTTTCTATTCATTATAATGTGAGGTGCGTGATGGAAAAGGGGAGTTGTTTTTTTTTCTCAAGAGGTATGATACAACCTTATTTAATTTTTATGATTCTATCTGTCAAAGCAAATATATTTAGTCAAGTTTTTGCTTTTCAGCTGCAGTTAATAGTGAGGAGAAGTTAATGTGATAGCCATCTTAAAATATATATCTGTATAAGTAAAGGAGAAAAGGAAGCAGGCAGGCAGCAGAGACACGGGGAGGGAGCCATTGCAGCACAGTGGAGGAGCAGGCAGTGGTTGCAATATTGCCTTGTCAAGTGAGGACTCTGGGAAATAACAATCAAAAAACTTTCTTGAGCATTTACTAGGCATTCACTAAGAGGATGCAGAGAACTATCACATGCTGCTGGTCACCTCTGAATGCCCCACTGCCTACCCTGGGGAAGGGCATGCCCTGCCTACTCATCAACCACTGGCTTCAAAATGCATTTTTGCTATTACTTGTCCTGAAAGACTTCCTTCCACAGTGATTTACTGCTTGAATCTGTGCTTTCAGGATTTGGTGGTATGTCGAGGCTCCCAGAGGAGCTAACTTTGCTCTTAATAAATTACTAGAAGTAATTGTGATGGCTAAAATCATTAAATAGCTAGAGGATAAAAGAACTGTGAACCACAGTCATCATGGTTCTACACGGACTGAATCTTGCCAAAGTTAATTGCTTTTTGATAGAATTACAAAATGAATGTGCTAAGGCAAAACACTGTGTTACTATATATTTAGATTCTAGGCAAGCACCAGATAGTGTTTTTCATTAACTGTTACTTTGAAACTTAATAAAAAAATGGTTTGGTTATAAACACTGTTGTATACATGTATATGGCTGATAAAGGACCAAAAAGGGTGAGGATGAGCAACAGAAAGGTGAGGCCCCACATGGGAGACTGAAATTGTGTAATTACTTTAAAAAATAAAAAATAAGTCTATCCATTAATGATTCATGCATGAAAGGGCTGTTATATGGGCTAAGTTAAAGGGCTAAGTTATATGGGCTGAAGGTTGGAATGAGTATTTTGACTATTTTGGCAGACTACAGTTACTTGGTATCAATTGAATACTATGATATTTCTAGAGAATTAGTTATTTAAAGATGGTAAAACAGATATAACAAGGAACGGTGAGATGTAAAAATCAGACATCGCAGAGATTTATTAACAGACAATGTTGTCTTTGCAAAAGTATTGCTATTCAATTTCTGAACAGTAATTTGTTGTTTTCTTCTTTTCTAGTTGCCAATATTGGCATCTTCTGTTGTTAGCCTTTATTTTCTTGAACTTACTGATGTCTTCAAGCCAGTTCACTCGGGATTTAATTGCTATGACAAGAGTCTGAGTATGCCATACATTGAACCTACACAAGAGGCTGTTCCCTTTTTGATGTTGCTTAGTCTGGTTTTTGCTGGACCATCAATTACGGTAAGTTTGAAGGGCCACTGTCACTTATTAAAGATTTTGAACAGTTTCAGTTGACATAAAGAAAATAGCTCCTTTGGATTCAGTGTGGCAGTGGAGTATCTTCCAGACTAGTTACGTTAGGATTTTAAATTAAATTGTATTCTTCCATAGCAGAAGGAGACACACACTCCTTAAAACATTCCCTGTAGCACTTCATCTACTCACTTTGTACTGATTGTGGGTATTAATGTTAAGAAACAGCGTCAGCAGTTGGGTGAGAATAGTTTGAATCGTTCTGTTATGCTATACAGATATTTTAACCTTTTACAAATGGGTTGCCTTCATACTCTGAGATAAACCAAAAATTCAAGATTCTGTTGAAAATGGAAGCCCTTAATTTACAGCACTGCCACTTTTGTTAGAACTAACTTTGTTCAGTAAGAAGGTGTATCAGCCTTGTCAATGAAATCAATTACACTTTCCCAAACAGCACCGGGACTCCTCTAAACTGCAAGTTAGTCATTAAGAGCAGGTAGACTGGTTTAGTGGCCCATCCAAAGGGAGAGGATGATTTCAGCAGAACAGAAGCTTCTTGTCAGAATACGAGCAATTTGCCATTTGTGCAAGACTGAACTTGTCTGATGCAGGTAAGTATTGTCCCTGCTGGAATTGCTGTATCAAATTAAAAAGAAATCTAAAGACCAGAGGAGATTCACTGTGTCTGATTTTTGGCACCTCAGATGGGAGACATTCTCGCACCACTCCTCTCGGGTAAATTGAAACAGAAAGTCCAGCTGAGTCAACCTTCTGAAAGGGTCTCCTCTCTCCTCTGACAGCAATGACTGGGTGCATCGGTTAGGCACCTCTGCAGCACCAGCTGCAAATGTATGCCAGTTCCACTGAATTACCGTAAATTCAGCCAGTTTGTTCCGTTTATAATCCTAGCCATTTTACAAGCAGAAAATCTATAAAACATGATCACAATCACAAATCTATAAAACATAAAAGCATCAAGTGCTGTTCCTTTGCTTGATAGGATTCTTTTATATTTTTTTTAAGCTGAACTCAGCTGTGTGTGGTTTTGGTTGCTTTAGAAACCATTTTGAAGGATTTTGCACAACCATCAGTCTAATAATACTTATTTAGCAAGTAGAAGCTGTCTCGGTGTTCTTTGTGCAGCCAATTGCAGGAAAAAAAAAAAAAAAGAAAAAAAAAAGATGCAAAAGGTAAAAAGAAAACTTGTTGATATTGTACTTTGGCTATGTTTTCTGCATTTAAACAATGTTCCTGATAACAAGAAAGTGGACTTTTGTGAAACAGCTGTAGAAGGAATCTATGTAGGCTCACTTCGGGCACAGTAGGCTGAAGTGGTAAAAGCCTGGAAAATGCCAGATGCCTTCAGCAGAGATGAAAGATGCCCATTTCATTACAGAGTGCTTATTAAGGTCTTTGATTAAGTACAGTTAAATTATTTCAGCATTGCAATAGGAAATGTTATTCTTCCTTGAATCATTCTCCTACCTGCATTACAGACACAACTAACCAAAACCATGCCATGAGAGAAACTCAGATGTTTAAGCAAGCCTATCAAACATTACATTGGTAAAGAAGGTAAATCGCAACGCTTAGTAAGTGCAATTGCTTAAAACCTGCAAGCCTTAGGAAGGTTTACTTCACATGGATGTGTGAGCATTAATATGATTCTTGTATTAGGTTGGGAATGGGCCCAGATAGTGTAAAATATACAAAGTGCTTTAATAAAAGGCACTGAAGATGATGTATTGCATCAGCTATTCAGTAGCACTTCTATACTAGAAAAACATTTTAAAAATTCAATTCTTCTTTTATTTTCCATGCAAAAAGATTACACTTGTTCAATTGTCATCTTGCAGAATTTAGCATTATATGATTTAGTTTTCATTAATAATTCAAAGAATAACACACTTTATAAACCTGTAAAATATAGAAAAGAAAACATGAAGCTATGTGAGAAATTAAGAATTTCCAGTAACATAGCATATGCAAGCCTCAAACCGAATTTCAGGTACTTAGGGAAGTATGAGACAGAAGGTCATGAAAGCTCAGTCAAAAACAGGTGCAACTAGGCCACATCTCTAAATCTTACCAAAGAATGTAAATAAGAAACAAAAGGGGCAGATGAGCAAATTCCAACCTCAATCCCTCCTTAAAGCATCATATAAATACTGGAGTAGGACTTAGCTTCTTTCTGCATTATTTTTAACTGTTTGCATACTTTTTTTTTTTTCCCAAACCTGTAGTGTATTTTAAATCTGTTCACTTTACAGTAGTTATTTTTACAGCAAATCTAAGCATTTTAAATTTACTTTCCCAAGACATTATTACTGAAGCATTTTGTGGGTTTGGGACTTTATTTATTTATTTGTGCTTATTGTTGGAGGTTTGGTTTTGTTGTTGTTGTTGTTAATTGGTTGGGTTTTGTTCATTACCAATGAGCAGAAACTGCTTTTCACCAGGCCTGTTCTGTAGCCTTGAAGGACTACAGAAAATTACGGGTTATTGGCATATGTCTTATGGCTTGTGGCACATGTGAAATTTTCTATACATGAAGCACAGGAGACTTCAGTATAGAGCAACTGGAGTTGTATGAAATTAACAGTATGGATATTTTCTGTGCAGAATATAGATATACCTGACTTGCAAGGTGACTTCTGTTTTCTTCAGGTGAGCTCTGATTCTGATCCTGTGATATATTTTCTCTCTACTTATTCATTCAGAAATTATAGGACTAGTTATTTAATCATATAAGTATAGGTCCAAACCCATAGCACTACTGACATAGAAGGTGCTTAAACGTAACAAAGTGCTTTCTAAACGAGATCACCAGGGAATTAGATTACATCAATTTGGGAAATCAATTAGCAAGGAGAGAAATTCACTGTTGGCAGTGTCAGTCCTACTGCCTGCTTTACTGTAGTAGCTTGTTTCCTTGAAAATACCAGCCTCTGAATTTTCCTTGTCATAGGCCTTGCTATTTCTCTGTTTTGTCCTCTATAACAGGAGCTATTACATCTCTCTGATGTTTTTCCCTGCACCAGGCATTCTGTAGAACTTAGTGAAAAACTATTTAAGTTTCCGTTTTTCAAGTTTAAAAAACTATTGATTTCTCCTGGAAAAGTTCCAGATATAAAATGAACAAGTAGAGACAGATAATAGTGATGATGGTTCTCATCCAATGAAAATCCCTTAAATATCTGTTATCACTGACATTTCATGTAGTGAGATAACTTTAACTACTTCAATTTTCTAGCAAAGAAGAAATGAAACCAATTAATATTAAATCGTTAGCTAAAAATGGTTAGACTAAGCTTATCCATTGCACCTCCCTTCTACCAAAGTGAGAGATCTTAGTGTGCACAAACGTCACTGATAATTATGACACTTTCTTCTTAATTCAGATGCTTGAGCATCTCATTGCACAGTGAGCTTTGTGCATTTCATGTGTTACTTTTCATCTGCTGATAGACAAGGTGAATCTCCTCTTAGTGGTGAGAACTGCCCCATTCATTTCAATATTTCAACATAGACTTTTTCTGAATTCTAACAAGCCCTGTACAGATTTCCATGTTATTGCACTACATAACAGGAAAAACAATAAAACCTGAGACTGCAAATGTATAAATGGATCTGAATTTTCCAGCAAGTAACACCGTGTTTGTATTTATATTATTCTCCTTATTTTTGTTCTAACTTGCTGTCTGCAGCTTAGGTCATGATGTCTTTTGCTCAGTGTGTTCAGAGGACCATAAGGACAGAACTTTTTCTACTGCTGTGGATCTGATTAAAATCCATGCCAAATTAAACAATTATGGAAGGGCAGGCTGCCACGTAATTAGAAGCTGCTAGCAACTGCTAGGCATGAGGCCAAGACTGAGGGCTAAACCCACCTCAGGAGCACTAAGATATTGCTGTGGCTCTGGATCATTTGAAAGGCGAGAATTTCTGATTACTACATTTTTATTGTAGATTATCTGATTTCACCTGTGGATCAAGGCTCCTGTCCCACTGAGCACCGTATACACGTGCAATAGAAAAGATCTCCTTTCAATACTTTTGGACACTTGCATTTAGTTTCAATGCCACCTTCTTGCCTGCCCTCACTCAGACTAAGTTGTTACTGAATGTTTAGGTATTGATACACACCTTTTCAAGAGACATACATGAGAGTGTAAGACATTGCTTGTGTCATAGATATATTTCAATCCTTTAAATTCTATCAGTGTCTTCTGAGTAATTGCTACATTTAACTTAACAGCTCCTTTGTCATTGCAGATAATGGTAGGAGAAGGAATTCTCTACTGTTGCCTGTCCAAAAGAAGAAATGGGATTGGAACGGAGGCCAACATTAATGCAGGAGGATGCAACTTCAATTCCTTTCTTAGAAGAGCTGTGAGATTTGTTGGTGGGTTTCAAATGTTACTTACAAAGAAGAGTCTTCTATGTACATTCAATTTTTACCATGCAGATTTCCTTCTCTGAAACAGCGTTTCAGAACAGTGCAGGGCTGACACTGGCATATGTCTTTTTCTGCCAGAAAATGCGAGAAGAAACTGTCAAATGGAGCAACAGAGCAGCTCCACACTCAGCAGTGCAGCATCTACACTCTGTTTTTCCTTTCCTCTCCCAGTCTATTGTCAGTCTCTCTAAAAGAATAATTTGTTTTTCCTCCTCTGCCCACCTTGAGCTGGCTTCCTTTTAATGGTTTCTGCATACAGTTTCCCCTGCCTGTCTTCACTGTATCAGAAGTATTCAGCTCAGCTGATACTGTATTCAGCATGACAGTAAAAACTTGTCAGAAACTGTCAGTGGATTTGACATTGTTTTTCTGGTATGTCTTTATCTACCTCTTGAAAAAGGGATACAATCTGGAACATAATGATAAAGAGGGACATGATGAATTATTTTACTTTGTTATTTACTAAATCTGAGCTTGAAAGGGTGGCTTAACTTTGCTCCTCTCTTAGAGTTAATTCCTCTGGCAATGAGTGGCTAAGAGAAAGGTTTTCTCTCTTCCAGAATACTTTCATTAGAAAGGGCAGCATTGGCAAAGATAAGCTGCAGGACAGCAGAGTGAAAACTTGATAAAGATTATACATTAGGTTCCTATAGGTTGGCAAGCAGGGAGGCAATAACAGGAGAGGTTATATATATATATATACACACACATATATATATATGTATCTGACCAATAAAGCATATCCTGTTAAGAGCAGCAGTGAGGAAGTGAGCAGAGAGGGGTGTAGATTGCAGCATCGAGGAGAACTGTAAAGTTACCCCATGCTGTCCATTTCTCCTCCTGTATGGCATCCTGTTCCATCACCAGACGACAAACTCAAAGATGCATGAATTTTACTCTTGATTCATACCCTGAATTTGCAGTTTGTTTCATACCATCATGATGAAACAATTCCTTTAGCATTCTTTCTGTTATAAGATGAAAAAATATATATACATGTATATATATTTTTTAATAAACACAAGTAGGGAATTAGAGGTAAATCCTTAGAGAAAAAGCAGTTGAAAATGCTCAGTAAAAAAAATCTCATTAACTGCCTTGTGAATTTGGTATTAACCAGACAGGAATATTGATTGTTGGGGAAAAAAAAAAAAAAAAAAAAAAAAAAAAGACCTAAATACTAAATATTTGTGTGAGATTTGGTACTCAACAAATATAAGAGGTATGCCGGTAAGCCAGCTGATGAGTACCTGGTAGTCAGAAGAGAACAAGTCTTCAGAACAATAATCTAACGGGAAACTGTGTTATTAAAAATGTGTTCCAGTGGGCAAGTCCAAGGACTGAATGAGCACATATGCTATCCTCAAATAGGTGGTTGTCCTTAAGTCAGCTGGAAAAATTGCTTTCCAAATAGAAGCAGGTCCAGTGTAGTTTACTTTAATGAAAAGATGTTGAAGGACATCCAGTCATCAAGTCTAAATGTTACGTATTAATAGGAAGAAAACAAGCATAAATAATTTAATTTTTATATTAAAGAAATCAACTCTGCAATAACATTCCACTTTAAAAAATGTTATTTCTCAGGTAAATTCTCACAAGCCCAATGGCATAAGCCACCAGAATTCAGTTGAATGTATTTGTCACAATGAGTTAATTTAAATACAATAAAGTTAACAAGCTCTATTGCTTTCTTTCCTAGGTGTTCATGTGTTTGGCCTTTGTTCCACTGCTCTTGTTACTGATATTATACAGCTATCAACAGGATATCAGGCACCATATTTCCTGACTGTTTGCAAGCCTAACTACACATCCCTAAATGTTTCCTGCTCAGAGAATTCATATGTTGTGGAAGATATTTGCTCAGGAGCTGATACTAATATTATCAATGCCGGAAGGTTGGTTCTGTTCTTCATTGTGTACATTACTAAGTATTTGTTTTATTTCTTTTTTAATTTTCTCTCCCAGTTTCAAATGTTTTTTTTCTAGGTAAAGCCTGTATGAGTTCTGGTAATATTTTTATAATAAAGCTGAGAGCATACCTGTCTTTCTAGTGATGTTTAATTTTCTTTATACAGATATTAGGCCAGCAGTGGGCTTTGGAAGTCTTTGTCAGATTTCAGAAGCACAGTTAGTAGTACCTAATTATTTTCCCTCCTTCAAAGGAGACAATTTCCTATACAATTATTATTACATGTAGCTTCTACTGCTTTTCCCAGTGGCATCTGAGTAAGTTCTCTATATCAGGAGAGGGGAGAAGCCACCCAACTACCTTATTTGAGACTTCTGTGTATTGTTATCTACAAACTTGACATTTTGATCTTAGTTGGTGAGGTTTGATTTTCTCATTTGTTAGTTTATTTGTTTTCCATTGACTCTCATTGACTAAATTTTTCATTTTGACAGCCACTGAAACAATTCTTTTCATTAGAGAAAAGTCAACAGCAATGCAAACCTGTGTGCTCCCAAACACATGGCTTTTTTTCATGGTATTTCTAACTGGTTGTTTATCCTCCCTGGCCATTTAGTCTTTAGCCTCCCTACTTAGTTAGCCAGGATATAAATTAATATTCCTAATATCAGGGATTTGGAAATTGCATATCAGTCAAGCTGAAATGTAACCCAGATTATGCATTTTACTTTAAATAAGCCAGATGTGATAAAAGTGATAACTCAATTACTGATGACAGTTAACAGACTCAAACAAGGAATTCAGAGGTATAAGTGGTACTGTACCAACACATTTGCTACTCATTAGTTCAAGGACTTCATTATTATGTATCCTAAATATATGCTCTACACTACTGAGAAAACATGAAGCTCTTCACGGAATACAATATCAGTCCTTCTTATCTTTTCCACACAAGATTAAGCTTTCTTACTTGGTAGTCATTTGTGTAGCATTCCCTTAATTTTTTTGCAGTCCTTCAAAATTTTTCTTTTTTATATTTCCTGATCTCCAAAAAGATTACAGTAGAATTACAGAATGCCTGAAATTACTAAAATTTCTGTCTCTGACTGAGCTGTATAATTTCCTTGTGTACCTGATTAGCAGACACAAAGCTGTGTTCTTCTCACATCCACTTCACCAAAGTTTTAAACTCTTTTCTTGTTCTCTATGTAGTCACAGATTCTAGCTTCTGTTTTAACTTCATGCCTTATAGCATTGCATTTTTGTTACATGGATATTACTATAACTTTTTCTCTGTATCACCAAGGCACCTTTCCCTCAGTTTATTTTGCTTTCCTTTGATATCAGCAGTTGACACACTTGAGAATCGTGAAATTATTCACTTTGTAAAGTACCTTCCAGCAAATCTCATAATCTATCTCCTTTCACTGAGACAAACCAATTTCACTGATGTTTAAAGATCCTCAATTATTTATTTGGTCTAATATACTTTTTGTTGGCAGAGATTCATAATTAGTGTTGATTCATTTGCCATTTTTTTCAACTTATATATGTGGACATGATCCAGAACTGGCACAAAGGACTGTAGCTTCATTAGGCGAAAATAATTTTGGTAGAACGCATAACCAAAATGACTATATCAGCCTTCACCTGCCTCTCTTCCAATAACCATCTGCTCTTACTGGATACTGCCACTGAAAATGATGTTTGCAAGCAGTCTTGCACCTACACGGTGTCCCAGTGAAACTGGTGCAGCTTCACATGTGAACAGGCAGAAAAATTCTCACAACTGCTCACATTCATTTAATTATCATCTCAAATATGATGTCCTCAATTGACGATCTGTGGCCATTCCAAAGATTTGCTTGTAAGTTTAAATATCACCATTCAAAAAAAAAAAAAAAAAAAAAAAAAAGTGAAATCAGTTGCAAGAAATTTAGAAGTCAGTATATTTGTGTTTTCTTATTTTTTAGGAAGATAACTATATACTGATATGTCAATTTTATTGTTATCATAAAGGACATATTTGGTGAATTGCAATTATCTGGCACCACCCTAAGTTTCTCCTTAATTAAATTTTATTGCCTTTTTCCTTTACTAAATCCTTGCTTTCTTATGTCTGTCCCAGCTTTACCAAAGTGATCAGCACTTGCTACTGGTTCAATCTTTAGCCATCTATGATGGGAATTACAGTGTAACTTCTCCACCCCAGGAGGTTAATTTGCCTTCAGCAATTTCAGCTTGTCAGGGACTTGTTCTTATAAGACTGATAATGACCTTCATTTTTTAATTTGTATATCCCAGAAATTTTGACTCTAGACTCCCTTGTGAATTAATTTTCTGCAACATCCCTGAATATCCAGTAGTTTTCTTTATCCATCTTTTCCCCTGTTTATCTTCAAAGAATCTTTTCAATCATTTCTATTCAGATCTCCAGTGAGTTCTCTATCCTCTGTCATTTCTGATGTTCTTACTCAGTATGACTCTTTCTCATCATTGTTCCCCCTCCACATATTCCTCATGCATGAACATTAAGAGTGATACAGTCTTCTGAGCTCAGGGCATGTTTTCTTTGAGACCTTTGTTCACCTTTTCAATACAGAGCCATACAAAAAAGCTACATATTTTTAGTTTGAATTGTTTTCATTTTGGATTAACAGATAGCAGAGAAGAACAAAAGCTGTGTCACCATTAGAGAGTATACAGAATGCCTATGCTGTGCTAGCCCTGAAAGCATATGAATAGAAAGTAGAACAAGGAGAAAATTGACTGTAGCATAGTGACAGACCTTATATACCACAGAAAAGCCATTAAATTCAGGTTAAGTTCTGAGTGGTTCACAGAATAAAATCTACACATTAGCTGCACACAGACTGTAAGTAGATGTATGCTTATACTTAAACACACACAGGGTAAAGAAGTTGATTAGACATTATAAACACCTGTGCTTTTTTTTTTTTCCCCATGTATTTATCCTTCTGTGCTTCTTTGAATGGGGGCTACTAATTGAGAAAGGTTTGATCAGGAGAAAAAAAAAAGGGGGGGGGGGATTAGGTCTGTGTTTATAAATGAAAAAGGAATCATGCTGATTTCATCTCGGCCAGAGTCAAGGATCTGCAGGGGCCATGAGCTCAAATGCAGGTCAGCAGTGCAGCATTCACGCTGAACTACATTAACACATTTTGTTACCAATAAATTATTTAGAGCAGATAAAGCAAAATGAATAGGAAATATATTTAGAAATTAGACTGCTGCTTTGCAGAAAATTTCTAAAGGAAAAGGACTATATTTCAGTCTGCTATTTTAAACTAGCTAACTGAGATGCTGCTGGGAAAATTGATGTAGGAACATGGAGCCCAACTCAGTTGGCAAAACCCTCCTTGAAAGACTGTTCAAGCATTTATCCAAAGCTGAGCTTTCTATTTCAACCTATCTCAGGTGAAAGTGGCTACTGCAGCTGCAGGGTAGACATAGCCTTCTTCATCAAGACATCCAGCACATTACATGTCCATGCCATTTAAGGAGATAAACATACAGTGTAAACTGATATATATCTGATATATATAACTGATATATATCTGATATACTTACTTCTAGAGCTCAGTTATAGAAGGGCTTTTAGGGCTTCCACAAGCCATGGACAACATAGAACAGGTGTTATTGAATCTACCACCAGCTAAGTTTTCCCCTATACTGTGTAAAATCTCTCCTTCACCATCCCATCACTGTTCTTTTGTCACTTTTAGAGTATTGAAATGGGTGTGTAAGAAGCATAAAATGTTCCAACGTTAGAGGGCCTAATGTGTAGCTGCTAAGTATTTTATTTAAATTTTTTTAGTCAAAGAAGTAGAAGCTCTCAGTTTTAATTTCCATATCTAATGTAGTTCCTGACTCAAGAGCCAGCCCAGATTACTCAACACTTCCCATGGTCTTCAAAGAGAACAGAAGGCCCTCAGCAATTTCAAGAATAGACCCTGATTTTCACTACTGTCTTGCAGTTTGGATGTATTTTCATTTACCCTCTTGTTCTAGGCTTCAGGAAGGGGACTGCTAAACCTTAAAATGCCCGTTCCATGTACTTCATTCGTAGCAGGTTATAGGAGCATGTTCTTCACTCCTAGAATTCCATTTACTCCTAGCATGTTATAGTGTTGATATTTTTAAAATACGTCTAGAGACAGCAAATAAATACACACAGTGTATTTGAACTTAGAAATATAATTTGAGTGTCCTTCCTTGGCAGAAAGTCATTCCCATCTCAACATGCCACCTTGGCAGCTTTTGCAGCAGTGTATATTTCGGTGAGTAATCAACTCTATTTATTTTCATTTATATAAGACAAAAGTTAGAATGCCATTTACTGTCCATTTTACAGTGAAGTGTTGCCTGGATATTCTGAGTGGGTACAAGTTTTTGTTGTGTCAATTCAAAAGCAAAACGAAATTATTAACAGCTAAAATAAAAGCAGCTCTATTAGGAATACAGAAAAGATGCATCTTCTTCAAACTTTTTAAAGAAGCAACATTATCCATTGTGGTGGAGTGTAATATAATATAAATATAAATAATCAAAGTAATATAAATATATATTTAATGCCTCAAGTTATTCATGTATAAAATGCAGTGCTTATCTGTCTTATAGGGTGATAATTTAACATACCATTCACATGTGTTATATATTTTGCCTTTCCTTTGCTGCTGTCTTCACACAATTCGCTGTTTTTAAACTTTAGGCATTAAGGTACAAACATTTATGTGATCTAGTTTCACTTGACCTCCATAGAATTGCATCATGGATGAACTGGCACAACCACTCTCAGAGGCCTCAAAGGTGCTACTGCAAAGCAAGTGAATAAAAGCCATCGGTAACTAGCAGGAAATAATAGGTCATGCTTCAGTGATGATTTCCCACATGTGACTAATGACATTTTTTCATTATGGGGGCCAATATTTGTATGTTAATATTTATTTGAAGTTAAAAAAAAAAAAAAGAAATACGTAATTTTCCATCATTCATGCTATAAAAATCTGAAGGAAAAAAAAAAAAAAAAGCAACAATAGCAACCAGTTAATCAAACTAGTAATAGAATTCTGCATGTACTGAGAGCTTGCCAGTATTTATTCAGCCCAGAAAAAGGGCAAAATTTGCAATAGTACCGATGAACAACTTCCACTAAATTTTTTTGACCTCCCTGTCATCATGGCCCCCAGTTGAGAAATGGCTCTCTAAAGCATCTGGTGGTGGCTTTTGTTAGAACAGGTTATTGCTTTCATCTGGCATGACATCTGGCTTCTGTATTTCAGACATGGTGATTGCTTAGTCACATTTACAGAACACTTAGGCTCTGACTGTGAACATTATTTAGGCATAAAATCTTTATCCTAATTAACATCAATAAGCAACATTGCCTATGTTTTCAGAAATCCATTCCTTGTGATTTCATATCTTTCTACAGTAATTGAGCAGATTTTAAGAAGGCTGCTAAATAAAATTAGTTAATTACTTGCAACAGTACTGTATAACACTGATTTATGTGTGAAAGAAATACTGAATGCTAGAAATACATATCTTCTCAGGTAAATGTAAGTTTCTTTAACCACTTGTTAATCTCTTTCTTTTTTTAAGATGTACTTCAATTCTACGTTAACAGATTCCTCAAAACTTCTGAAACCACTCTTGGTCTTTGCTTTTATCATCTGTGGAATTATATGTGGTCTGACTCGTATCACCCAGTATAAGAATCATCCAGTTGATGTTTATTGTGGCTTTCTCATAGGAGGAGGAATTGCTCTCTATTTGGTAAATATAACATAGATGTAGCTATGTATTAGAAAATAAAATTGATAAGTCTGTAATAAAAGTATTGGCATTTTTAATAAAAATATTTTGTCAGGGTTACATGCCATAATCAAGAATACAGTCCAAATGTGTTGAAGGTGGTGATGTTAGGGGTAATCTCTTCTAAAAATAAACAGGAAAAAGCAAATATATATTTCAATTTGAAATGCCATTAAGAATGCACAAAGTGGTATATAATAGTCTAGCACTGTATGCAGAAACAGCTCTAACATAATGCACTTTATTGAAGATACTCATCTTCTCTACTCCACTCTTACAAGCATAAGAAAAATATTAAACATTATTTGTTGCCAGTATGAGTTTACACTGCCACCATTAGCTTTATAGTCTCAAAATTAGTTTAATTAGTGTACAGCAACTCAACTGAGTGAATTGCCAAACCAGCAGGAAATCAAAGGTACTATTACACCCCTGTGGTCCTTCGGAGCTCTTGGGGAGGTTATGAAGGAGATGTAGGATGCCCATGCCTATGCTCTTTGTCTGCACTGTGTTGAAACAGATGGAGCGCATTGGAAGGGTTCTGTAAAGGAATGTGTAAGATAGGCCTGTTTGTATCTGCAAGTAGGAAGCTTATACAGCTTTTGCTTCCTGCTCTCAATACATCTCCAGCATGACTGTTGCTGCTCTAGCTGCTCAGCACAGTGTCATTCAAGGTGCCTGTAAGCAATCAGGAACTTCTGCTGACAATGTGGTGGTGAACAGAACAATTTTAACAACCAGCGGGATGGTTTTTGACCCCTCAATGTTAGTGATGAATTTGAATATAATACTAAAATAAGTTCATAACTTGTCCCCCATTTTTTCTGTGATGTAATAGTCTAAGGCATGTGCAGATGGTCTACAAAGGTGACCAGAAGAAAAATGGCTTTCACAGAGGCAACAGTGACAGCAACCAGGGTAGATAATAAAAACTTAATGAGCTACTAAAGTCAGTTCCTACAACTGCATTGTGAGAAGAAAGGCACTATGTCGAGAATATTATTTCAAATGATTAAGCTGTTGTAGACTCTCATAAATGGAGCTGTTGTTTTCATGTTCGAAATCCACAAACAAGTGTGGTCTTTGTTAGGTCTTCCCCATAAACTATGGCATGAAAACATACATCAGAGAGGTGCATTGTCCTGGAAACCCAGTAGTCAGTAAATCTGCCCTTAAAACTACACACCAATAAAAGGAAAGGGAGGGAAAATATTGTGAAACTACAAATAACTCTGAGAAGAACAAGTAACCTAAGTGATTGAGTGAGGCATTTGAGCCTTTCATACAATATTCTCTCAGTGGAATCTTTTTAAAATGACAGCATTTTACAATGAGTCTGCTGAGTAAAAAAATGTTGTATAACTAAATCTTGTTACAGTTCTGCACAGCTTGGAAAGCAATTGATTCAAAGCTGATAAATTGTTCTATCATGTAGCTATTGTATTACATGGTTATTATGCAGTAGAAAGGGCAGAATCACGGAACAACTTGAGCTGGAACAAGATTCAGTAAATCAGAGCAGACAGTAGTGTAGTTGTTAAATAGCTTCGCCCAGAAAACTGCGAACATTAATTTTCCTAGTTTCAAAACAAAACATGCTTTGTTTAACTGTATCTGTTGTTTTATAAAATGAGGAACACTGAAGGAGGCTAAATCTTTTCCCTAACAATTCATTGCCATGAAATAAATAGTTATAAATAAATAAATAACAAGTGTCCTTTTTATCATACTGAAACTGCTACGTACCAGATTGAGGACAGAATTTGGCATAAAGGTAAGGATAGGCTCATTAGCAAAGGTAACATACCCTTGCCAGTTAAACTGGACTAATTCTATCACTCGATATTTAAAGGCAGAAGAATATAATTAAAATTCCTAAAAATGTCTCCTTTTTCAATAACTAGTTGTTCATGCTTCTGTTCAAATATCAGGGCCTGTATGCGGTGGGAAACTTCTTGCCAAGTGACGAGAATGTGTATCACCAGAATTTTCACAGAGAACCCCTGAGGTCTTTGACAGACCTCAGTCAAGATGCCAACAGAATCCTGCCAGGTAAAAATGGAAGCAGCACTGATGGCATTGCCTCTCACCGTTCGGAAAGTATCCTGAACAGAAACCACAGAGATACTGGGTCTCTGACTAACATCAAGAGAGCAAATGCTGATGTAGAAATCATAACACCACGAAGCCCAATGGGAAAGGAAAACATGGTTACTTTCAGTAACACTTTGCCAAGAGTCAACACGCCATCCTTGGAAGATCCAGCAAGACGAAATGCAACAATTCATGCATCAATGGATTCTGCCCGCTCCAAACAGCTGCTTTCCCAGTGGAAGAATAAGAATGAAAGCCGAAAGTTGTCACTGCAAGTAATAGAGACTGAATCTGGCCAGTCACCACCAAGATCTATTGAAATGAGGTCAAGCTCAGAGCCTTCCAGAGTGGGTGTAAATGGTGATCATCATGGCCCAAGTAGCCAATACCTGAAAATTCAACCTGGCAGTGTACCAGGTTGTAACAACTCAGGTCTTTCTGGTGGGCCAAGGGTCTCTATTCAGTCACGTCCTGGCTCTTCCCAGTTAGTGCATATTCCTGAAGAGACTCAGGAAAACGTGAACACATCTCCTAAAACTAGTTCAGCTAGAGCTAAGTGGCTGAAAGCTGCTGAGAAGAGTGTTGCATGTAGAAGCAACAGCCAGCCAAGAATCATGCAAGTAATAGCCATGTCTAAGCAGCAAGGAGTGCTTCAAGGCAGTCCAAAGGGTTCAGAGGGAAGCACAGTCACTTGTACAGGAGCCATCAGATACAAAACCTTGACAGACCACGAGCCAAGCAGCATTGTCAGAGTCGAGGCCCATCCAGAAAATAACAGACCTGTAATTCAGATGCCATCAGAAGGTGAAGGAAGTGGGTCATGGAAATGGAAAGGTCCTGAAAAAGTCACCCTTCGTCAGACATACGAGCTAAATGATCTCAACAGAGACTCTGAGAGCTGTGACTCCTTAAAAGACAGTTATGGGTCAGGTGACAGGAAAAGGAGCAACATAGATAACACTGAGCATCACCATCATGGAATCACTACAATAAGAGTCACACCTGTGGAGGGAAGTGAGATTGGCTCAGAGACCCTGTCCATTTCTTCTAGCCGGGACTCAACACTTAGAAGAAAAGGTAACATAATTTTAATCCCTGAACGAGGGAGCAGTCCAGAGAACACCAGAAACATCTTCTATAAAGGCACATCCCCCACACGAGCATACAAAGAATGAGAGGAGACATATCAGCTGGTCCATACCACCACAAAGGAAACACATCCTCACACAGGTTCTGTTCTGTTTAGAGTTGATATTTACCTTTGATGTGCCAAATTATTGACCAGCAGCCCAACTGTCGTTGAACACTGCTGATTTGCAATGTGCATGAGCCTGTGGAAATCACGTGGTGGGGGGAAAAGCACAATGCCAGAACCTAACTAATGTGAAACATTTTCATGCAACTTGTTTCTTCAGACTCAAAACATTTATCTGAGGGTGATGTCAATCAAAAAATAGTCTTGAACACAGACACTTTATTTCCTGAATGTGCCAACTTTTTATTTTATTTATATTTGTGTCCAAAATCAACTGAATTTTTCATAGCAAATGCTGTATGTGTGGTATATATTCACCTTTGCAGAATTTGCACCACATCTTTAATACAGGATGGTGCTGATAACTTTACATGTTTTGAAAATTTGCATACTTATTAGACTCTACAAACACATGGCATATTGATGTGCAGTTACTTTAAAATAATATTGCTAATACTATGATGATGCTGGCTGCATTCATTTAGCATAAGAAATATTTACAGCTTTGTTATAGTGGATCTGTCACATTCAAAGATTGCAAAGATTTTGTGTAGTTCTTTAAGATGTCTACTGCAACAAAAAAAATGTGTGGGTGACGTTCCATTAGAATGGAATACCTATCTATTTTGAATAGTTTTGCTGCTACTGCTCAACTTTTATTTAAGAACAGGTGCTACTAATGAAGACGCTGCTTCTTAGTGGGCTAACTTGTAGAACTGTTTAAAATTATGTTTTTAAGGGGTCTTTTAAAGTACTACAAGTAATTCAGATTTTGCATTTTTAAATCTCTCATTCTGTCCTTCAGCAACCTTTCAATTTTTCTGTTAGTTTTTGACTTTATAATGTGTGACACCAGTAACTGCAAAATGTGCAGACATGCAAGGTGAGCCATGAGCAAATAAAAATAAACCACCAGTTTCCTGATCAGCTTCAAGGGAGACAGTAATTAATATCATAGCTCACAATTCGAAGCAGTCATTCAGCACACTTGCTTAGCATGCCACAAGAACAATCACAAGTTTCACCCCACTCACCATCATTTTGGGGATTTAAACTTTGCTTTAAAAATGGAATGCCTTGGTATTGCAGAATCACTACACGAGTGTTGCGTTGTGCCACCACTACCGTTCAGGTTCCATGACACACCGTCCAGAGCCTTCTTAAGGATTATATTTTTCCCCCTACCACTGCCACTTAGGAATATGGAGAGTCTCTGCACCTGAGAGAACACAGATTATTTTAGTAAATTAAGCTTGGATGTAATGAAAGAAAACTTGCCTGCTAAAGACCTCCACTGACCAAAACTGTTGAACAGTTGAGCTCTGAAATGAATATGCATAGCACATCCTGGGCAAGCTAGAAGAAAAGCATCATTCAGTTTGGCTCTGACCTAGATAACAAACCATGGAGGAAGCCACGGGCAATGCTCATCCAGTGCAGCTCCTCATTCTCTCCTAGATTTTCAACCTGAAGAACTAATACCAAATATGTGCCTGCTCTACTTCCAGGAAGGGAAGAAATGACTTTGTAGTCCCCTCACTGAATAAGCCATAGGTAACAGATCAGTTCTATTACCTGGCTTATTTAGTAGAGTGTTTTGCTCTAAGACTTCTGATTTGGGGTACCAGGCAACAAGATATATACTACATAGTCAGAACCTGTCTACAGACCTTAACCCACAGATCTCTGAGGAAAAGCCCACCCTGCTTCAGCCAAGTAGGAGGTAGAAAGAATAATTGTCCCATCCCAGGAGGATAAAGAGCACAACACAAATGCAGACCAAAAAAAAAAAATCCCCAACCCAACACCAAGTCTGAGAAATTGCAGTAGGAGGATGGTATTTGCTAATCTGCATAGAACATAGAAAGGATTCATGGTCAATATAAAGCTTTATATACTTTCCCATATACCCCAGTCCCCAGTGCTCCAAGCTTATCTGAGGGTTGTCAGCCAACCCTATCTAGTAATGCTTCCCCCACCTGCCAATCACCTAGTGCTCTGAAAAATATTGTCCCTTAAGGAAATGCCCGCCCTTTTTCTGCTAGTAATAGACAAAGACCCCAGCATGCATGAGATAAATGGGTGGAAGTATTCTGCAGGTTACACGTAAGGAGATAGTACCCTGCAACCTCACTGGTTATGTATGTTGAAGGCACACTTTAAGGTACAGTAGCTGGGACCGATAATCACAGGTGCCGAGGAAACAAACAGAGTAATTTTTTTAGAAATGTGTTCTCAGACTCTAGTATACAAATCAGGATTTGTTTTTGGTTTTGTTTTTTCTCTTTTTAAAACAATGTCTCTTTAGACCTTGGTATTTAATACCAAATTTTGTACAAGGTTCCTAGGAATTACAAACACTTAGAGTGTAATGAAAAACACACCTTTGGAGTTAGTTTAGTCTAGGTAGGTGATAAAGAAGGTAAGATTAGCTTTAAAAGGAATGGGTAAGACACAATCGTTGTTGGCCTATCAATGCAGGGAAATAAAACGCAATCATTTGTTAGTTTGTAAGTGCAGGGCAAAGGAACATAAGGAGATGAACCTGGAAATAACAGAAAATTGAAATGGAGAATAATGGCAATAAAACAAAGATTAGAAAATATTCCCTCTGGCAATTTAGCTGTTTTGGAAACTGCAGGATTCCTGGTGGGAGTGTTTGTTCTCTATTCCTTGGTTTTACTCAGATATATATTGGCATACGTGTTGCTTTTATTACTCTAAAACTTGCTGCACTATTTCAAGTGCAGTGTGATATTTTTCCTAAGGTTTCCTATTTCTTAACAAAAGATTTTAAAGCTCTTGTGTAATCATTGAAATTGTGTTCTTTACATAAATATTGATATATTCTTTTTTACTCAAAGTGCCAAAGGCTACTGTTTTTAATAATGGCTTATCAAATTATATTACGTTAGAGAGCAGAAATGTAATAATATATACATTGGAACTCAGACCTCTGCATGTATATTTGATAAGGAGCCTTTTGTAAAATTACTCTTTGTTTACATTCCACTGATACCTTAATTTAAAATTAAACAAATTTACAGGTGACATCTTCTTAGTGTTCTGATTTTCTTACTTGCTAACAGGCACGAATTTCTTTGTTAGGCTGTGCTTTACTGAAAAAAGAAAATACTCAAAAATAAAATATGTTTTTAAATGAGAACTCTATATAAAGTATTGTGTTTAATAAAATGTTATGCAATGTTTTAAAATGGAAAAGAATTTGTAAATTGCTATAAATGTATTTTGTTAAATAAGTACAAATCAATGCTATTGTGTTTATTGTGCTAACATCATGAAAATAAAGATAAAATTATTCATTGATGTTCAGTTATCTCATCTGTAATGAAACAGAGTCCTAATCCCCTGCAAAATTATTTTTCAATATTAGGTTTCTCAGGACACATCAAAGCGGTTATCAGTGGGAAACCTCAAAACCTAGCATAGTAATAAGAAATCATGAGGAACAGTCTTCAAACAGAAGTGTCTCTATCTGAAGAAAAAACATTGTGGGGAAAAAAAAAGTTAATTGGGAACTTCATGCCATGTCAGGATACATTTTCTAGATTATTTTGGAGGACAGTGCTATGCCCCTAATGCCTTTAAAGCAAGTGTTGGGTAGAGGTGCTGGACATGGTGAGGCCCCATGATTTGTGAATTAGAACAGGAGAGGTGTCAGGAGCAACCCAAGAGGAAGAGCTCTCCCCAAGAGAAGGTAGTATACAGGACACGGTCATTGGGTGATAAATACCCTATTGCTGCCAGCAGTGAAGACCATTACAAGTAGCAGCTTGCTGTTCAAAATACTGTCTTATCTATAAGCCACAAAATGTACTGCAACAGAAACCACAAAACGTATGCAACAGAAAACACTGTCTCAGAGCCAATCCCGAAACACCCTGAAACTGGGCACAGCAGGGCCCTAAATGCCAGGGATGGAAGACACAACTTTAGCTGATGCATGCACAGATACTGCCAATGGCATGTTGAAGATCACCAGCAGCATCTCTGCAATACACAGCAGAAAAGCAAACTGACACTGATAAGCTTTCCCATGTGTACGCATTCCTTTGCGCAGGCTGTGCTTTGGAGTGATGTGCCTTTCCAGCAGGATGACCTGTCTTGGCCAGGGTGGCAGAGGGACCAGGCAGCTGATGGGACCACTGGCGCCAGCCAGGCACCACACTGCTGAGGGGTACAAGAGCATCATGTACACGCACACTGTGCTCCCAGTGAGAGCATGCTGGGTCAACTGGTGTCATCCCAAGTTGTGGTGCAGATCTGTGTCACTAGGCTATCCATGTCCTTGAACTTTCATAACAAAATAAGACCAGGGACCCTCAGGCAAAAGAGTTGGGAAAACATTTGTTTTCCCCTGAGAGGAAAGGAAGTACGTGTAGAGTTGTGATACTGCTCCTTCTGAGGTTACTGAAGCATGCTGCTTGTGGTCAGGGCTGGGGAAGGTCCTGGTCACACTATATTATATTAGTAGCCAGTTTTATGAGAGGCCTCTCTGGACAGCAACAGATGCTTGTGGGACAGCAGGTCATCTGCCCAAGCTAAAGGACACCTTGAACAAAGTTGTGTGAAGCCTGTGGCCTTGGGGCCAAGGTTCTGGTGTCCTGCTGTCTGGGACATGTCTGGAACATCCTGGGAAAGCTACAGACAGCAATGCCCCAGGTATGGGTCAGAGAGACTGTAGGAAGGAGAGCAAGAGCCTGGGAGAGTCCAGGTAAGCTCCTCTTCATGCTCACGGGGACACTGTAAGGCCTCAAAAGTGTGTACTTAGTAATGGCTGGGTCAGGGACGGGGTAAGCTTCGTCCTGCACCTACCAGCCAGAGTGGAAAGAAAGGCAGCAGGAAAGGACTGAAGGAAGGGAAAAATACAAGCCAATGTTGACAAAAGTATGAGAAGTCGCTCTGTGTTCTACATGTACATTAAGAAAGAAATCTAGATAGAAGTCAAAATAGGAAAGAAAGCAAAATTAAGCAAGAGATGGTTACATTTTAAGAAAATCTGTACTGAATAGGAAAATCAAGAGAAGATACAGTCTGGTAAAGTGCGTAACATTGCTCCTAGGTGTTTCACTGCTGTAATTTGCAGAGGTGTATCATTACTCTGCTTGTATTAGGTGATGTCATGGTACAGCTCTTTTATAGGAATTTTGTATTAAGAATTATCAACCTTGTTCTAGTACACTCAAAATTGAACTGAATGTCATCTTGGGGTTACTCATTCCAGACATGCTGCAATGGGGTGGATGTGAGACAGTATGGCACTACACAAGCTGGAATTGGCCGTGGTAGGTAAAAGAACCCTGCAGCACAGAGGCTACTCCATGGCATACACCAAAGCCTGCCTTTCCCAAGCTGAGAAAAGCTCTGCTGCCTAAGCAGCCAGTTAATACTTCATTGTGGGGCAGACCCTCCCTTTCACTATAGTTATATCAGCTATGCTAGCATAAAGTGAGCCCCTACCAGTACCACTCCACATCTGGTGTTTTATCTCCATTTTGCACTCATAGCAGTGACTGAATGGAAAAAAAAAATAACAATACTCCATTGCAGTTCTGGATTTGCAATTTTATTGCAAGAAAGACAAGGTCTCCCTGTGTTTGTCATTACAGAGTGAGAAAAAATAGTGATTGTAACCTATATAAATGACCACAGTTACATGTCTCTATGTAGAATCATATATAGTGATCCTAGAGGTTATTGTGTGCCAAGCATTTCTGTGCTAGCAGTCAGGACAGCACAGAAGTAGTGCATAACCAAAGAAAAATCTCTATACCTCAGCCGACTGAGACAGTGAGCCCTATCACATTGGCAATGTTAATCACTACGAGTTTTATGTCCCTACTACTACAGAAACAAAAGCTGAGTGACAGAGATTTCCACAGAATCACAGAATCATCTAGGTCGGAAGAGACCTCCAAGATCATCAAGTCCAACCTCGGACCTAACACCAACAAGTCCCCACTAAACCATATCCCTAAGCTCTACATCTAAATGTCCCCCAAAGACTTCCAGGGATGGTGACTCCACCACTTCCCTGGGCAGCCCGTTCCAATGCCTCATAACCCTTTCATTGAAGAAGTAATGTCTCCTAATTGCTTTACCTGTTGAAGAGCAGTGCTCTTTGTTCTATTCTTTAATTCTTGAAGAGTAGGGGCATGACGTTTCCATTTTTCCACTCCCCAGTGACAGCACCCCACTACCAGGACTTTTCTGCTGTGATGGAGGGAGGCTTGGCAACTCCATCAGCCAGTTCCCTCAGGACCCTGGGATTCTTCTCATCCACTCCCGTAGACCTGTACCTCTTTGGATTCATCAGCTGGTCTCGAACCTGCTCTTCGCTGAAACTGGGTGGGACTCTGCTCCCCCAGCCTCCATCTATGGGGTCAGGGAAATGAAAGATGTGGGAAGACCTTCTACCAGTGCACACAGAGGCAAAGAAGTTGCTGAGTACCTCAGCCTTCTCCACGTCTGTCATTACCAATTACTCACATATAGAAAATCACTCATAATATAAGCAATTAGCCACCTATAATCACTCACACACTACTGTTTGCACCCCTCGGTTTATTTTCACAAATGTTAAAGGCGCATGGTGGCCCCTGGGTACTCCACCTGTCACCCCAGCGCAGCAGCATCGAAGGGAACTGGGGCATCTCTTGGGCTCTTCCTCGAGGCTCTGCGCAGAAGGGCTGCCACCTCTCGCACAAGGGCTGCCGGATGGGAAAGAAGCACTCACACAACCCCTGACAATTGGCAAAGGTCTTTATTGCCACGTGGCTCCAGGCTAATGCCTGGAGTGGAGCCTGGGCGATGACGAATAGGGAGCTTGCCGAGCCCTTCTGCACAGCTGACGGTGTTCCTTGAGGACACTTTTCAGAGAGCTGCCGGGGGACTCCCATGTTTGTTGTGGCCGAGGTGGGTCCACTTCCATCGGTTGCTCTTCATCTTGTGCACCCACCTCCATGGGCTCCGCGGGTTGGAGGACGAGCCAGTCTCTGGCAGGGACTGCCCACACAGGCTGCCGTCCATTGGGAATATTTTCCGGCCATGGTGCCGCACCAGGACGCCTCCCAGTTCCGTGCCTCGGGTCCGTTCCGTTCTCCGCTTGATTTTCATTCACGGAATTCCTGATGGCATCTCTCCCTTGGCCACGGCTGGTTCCCGCGTCATATTCTGTCCGCTGGGCACGGCTCCGCTTCCCGTGGCCCTCCAACCCACGCTCTCTCTCTTTGCTGTCCTCACTGGACCTCCGGCTAGGCCCAGGTCTGCTGTTGGTGTCTATCCGAGGGGCCGGCCTGCTCCCCGCATCGCTTCGGCTCCAATTATATTTGTCATAATAGCCTCTGGGCCGGGCACCAGACACCTCCTGGGCACTGATGGTTCTTGTGATGGAGGTGCTGGCCCTCGACCCATGGCGCATTCTTGCAGAGCCAGACATCCTCCTCAGTGGTCCCAGGAACAATTTCTTGTCCTCGCACTGAGAAGGGCTGCTGCTCGCCTTGCCCTCGCTTTGCTCCTGTCTCTGGCCTTCCTTCAGCCAATGGCTTTCAGAAGACCAAATCGCTGAGCAAGTGGCGGGCCAGTGGCAGGGGGGCCCCTTTTATAGGGCCCGGGGCAAGGGCGGGCCCGCTG